AGCAAAAAAACTAATTCATTTTCGTTGTGACATACGCTAAGAAGCGGAAGAAAAGGACTATAGCTTTCAAAGACTGCTTGTCCAACGCAATCAAGTTTCTTGAGTCCAAACTTAGGACATCTAATCAGAATTCGATCATGGAGCTGCTTTTCTTTTAGGGACGAACTATTTGATTTTTGAAGGGGGAGGGGAAGGGGGCACGAGTTGCAATACAATCTTTTAACAGACCATACCGTTGCACGATATTTTTTTTATACACATCTTCACCTATCAAATATTCAAACTGCACGTAGTTCTCTGTAGAACTCAAACTTTAGTTATGCGTACAACACAAACTGTATTCCTATATATGTTAGAACAGCTGTTCTTTATACCTCAATATTAAACGTTGCGATTTGAGGCCACTCAAACCGCAGTTCTTTTGTTTTTACGGATTAAGTGTGGTGAGGTTTACAGTTTTTGCGCTTAGTATGCTCGAAGGATTTTTTTACAATTGAATACGTTACTGTTGGTTGGTTACCGAAGGGCATTGCACAAGTACACAAGATTTTGTCGTGTAGTATCGAGTGCCTTTTTATATTCATCATTTTTCGTTAGAACATACAGTCAATGTCATTAACGTTGTCCACCGAAAAAAGACATTTACACATTTACACAATCATTTACACATTTACACATTTTAGACTAAAAGAAATATCGCGTTTCATTATGTATTCTTTGCCTCGTGTGCGTCAGCCTGAACTTTAAATGTAAAATTCAACTCGTGAATCAAAAATCCAGAATGCCCCGACCATTTAGTGAGGATTTAAGACGGAGAATGGTATTTCAGCGTTTGTTTTATGCCAGAACGTTCGAGGAAACACGTGATATATCTTTTAGTGTAAATGTGTAAATGTGTAAATGTGTAAATGTCTTTTTTCGGTGGACAACGTTAATGACATTGACTGTATATTTTGATACTTTGCCATTATTTCGCTCAGCCAAATAAAATTTGTTTTTAGGTAGAAAACCGAAAAGAACTGTCAGTCAGGGGACAATAATTTTTAACAGACTTTTGATGACGTCATAGGCATTTACTGCATAAGCTACTCAACAGAGTTCAATTTTGTACCAAAGCTAGACAAGAATGCAACATGTTAACCTAACTTTAAAAATTATTACTGCCATTCATACGTAAAACTCAGAGTAATCTTGTGGTGAGTAGTTTCATTACTTGTTACAGACCTCTAATGATGTCACAGGCGTTTACTTTATCAGCGATCAATGTATAAACTGGTCTGTGCACACCAAGAAATCTAACCAGGTTTTATAAGTGTTACTTATACATGTACCCAAGTTAGACCAGGATGCACCTTGATTATTCAACTTAAAAAAATCAGAGTAAAAAAATATCTGGTTAAAGTGCACATGAACCCTTCAACAATACTTTCAGTACTGGTTCTGCATAAAGTAAATAGTTGAATGGTAAAATATTTCTTGATTTGAGTAATGCGTCTATAAGTTATGAAGGTTTATACTTCCAATATGTTAATGATGGTAACGTCCGGCAAGGTATTTGAGTGTTCTTGTTGTAACTAGTAATACTAAATGCTGGCCATTTTGAAAATACAAATTTAAAATAGCTTTCATGTAAACCATGAGTAAAATAATGATGCTTTTTAAATACTGTATCTATGAACCAGTTCGATTTTGTATATTTAATTAAGCCTTAATAGACGTCACACTTATTAGCATATTGGAAGTATAAACCTTCATAACTTAGAAACGCATCACTCAAATCAAGAAATATTTTACCATTTAACTATTTACTTCATTTAGAATCCATTAGTGAATGGTTATCAATCCTGTTTGCCTTGCACACCAAGAAATCTAACTAGGTTTTATAAGTGTTACTTATACATGTACCCAAGTTAGACCAGGATGCACCTTGATTATTCAACTTAAAAAAATCAGAGGTAAAAAATATCTGATTAAAGAAATCACAAGAATCATTATCATGATACCATTAGTGAATGGATATTAATCCTGTTTGCCTTGTTGATTTAGCTTCTTTAAAACTGCTCTCCTACTTGCCATCAAGATATTCCAAGCCAGTTTCTCTCTTACCCAGCGTGGGATCAACCCAACCACAAATTCCTGAAATTGCATAGAAAACGAAGTTAGAAATTTTGCTCATTCAAAAGGTGGCATCTCTTTTTGGAAGTTAGTACCACAGGGAGAATTTTACATTTGTCCTTGATACAGGGGCAGATCCAGGAATTTTAAAAGGGGATGACTATTACAAAGGTTTTACCAGGAAAGCAAGGAAAAGGGGGGTGACTTTTACTAACGATATAGTGAGAAATTTGAGCAAAAGGGGGTTGACTAGTCACCTATATTACCACCCCTGGATCCGCCCCTGGGATAGATATTCAAATTTTTGCAATACATGTATTTCTGTCAGACTAAGTGCCATTATATTATATTATTCCCTAGAGTATCATTTCTTTGTTTAATGATTGCACATCAGAACACATATAAGTATGGATACAACTCAAACAAAGAATCTTATTTCCAAGAAAATGACACATTGTCAGAAATGGAAAAAAAATTGCTCAACCTAAAGTTATCTAATCTGGTTTCTTTTAGTTTGATAAATCATAGTAATGCTCCATTTTAAAGTTTGGTTCAGTGACCATGAATAATAGTTTCATGTCGAGGTTGGAGTTTCTGCGTATAGCAAAACTATAGTTTATCATGCACATCAACTCCAGCCTTGGTTTGGGACTGGTGTTCGTGGTTATTGAACCGAACGAATGGAATTGTGAAATGGATAATTGTCAACTCAAGGATCTAAAACTTTGATGGGAGCCACAATGATTTCTGTATTTACAGCTAGTTGTTTAATCTGTATAACTGGTGTTCATGGTTATTGAACTGAACGAATGGAATGGAGTGAAATGGAGAATTTCAACTCAGGGATCTAAAACTTTGATGGCAGCCACAATGATTTCTGTATTTACAGCTAGTTGTCTAAGCTGTATAACCTGGATATATGACCACAAAATAAGGCACTCGTACCTGTAAAGAATGGCTCCAGCACCCATTTGTCCTTTGTTCTACCCCAATGGTACCCAGTGCCTGACGGGCATAATCATCTGGGCCTGGAACAAAGAGACTGGGCCTCTTGATTTTACTCATCTTGGTGGCGACATAGAGTGGCATGACAGACTGAAATTATACAAGCATGGTTCTTGGAGATCAATAACAGTTTTGAACATGATAATGAAACAAATTTTTTTGATAAACTGTATAATATGTTACACCATTGTTGCTATTACTACCAGAACCATATGTAGGCTCTGAAAGTCTAAAGGCTCAAGTTACTGCCCACCTATCACTCTCCCTTTCTAAACATCAACTTTATGAAATCCTGAAATAACCTCTTGGATGATCATAGTTAGGGCATGACTAACTCAGAGATCCAACCAAATAACCTCTGGGCTGATCATATATGGGGAATGGATAGCCCACAGATCGAAGCCTTAAACAACTTCTGGAGGATTTATTATAGTAAGGGAACAACTAATTTTTGCAAAGAGAGGTAAATGACACAACCTAGAGAAAAACTCTCAAATCAAGAAAGAAGGTGCAATGGAATGAGCTTTCATGTACATGTAGAGTCCAAATACATGTCAAAGAAATGCACGAAGAAAACAAACCTGGACAATGATTCCTTTTCCAGCATATTCAGTAGCAATGGCCTCACTGAAGAAATCCACAAAAGCCTGGAAAAAGCAATTGTCAAGATGTAAAATATGAAAATAATATATGAAGAATTGCCTGGTTATGTATTAATATAATAACACTTGCATATACCTTAGATGATGAGTATGTTGACAGCAGCGGCAGTGGTTCTACACCAGCCCTGGATGAGATATTCATCACCACTCCTTTACCCCTAACATACAACATTGAAGTTTTGGTGAGACACTCAATGTTTTCAGGGGTGCTTACTATTTACCTGCACGCCTGAAAAGCAGTGTAACTGAGTTGTTTACCATGGATAAATAAAAGTTAATTCCTTTATTCATTCATTCACCCAGAAAAACCTGAAATTCTGGTTGGAAAAACAAATAGACCCTATTAGGAGGTACCCATGTCATTGCTGAATTTCACAAATGCCTAAGTCACAATTTCGGATTATTCTTGTTTTGCTGTCAGAATTTTACCCCAGCTAACAGGGCCTCGCTGTTGGTAATTCATTAGAGTAGTCAGTTGCTCACCATGGTACCGTTCACCACTACACTGTAGTTCGTGGCTCTCTAGTCCTCATTTCAAGGCGATGTAGCATGCCGAAGTTTACCCCTAACAGGGCCTTATGTGTCATCCTGAATTGAAAGTTCCAGAAAAGTTGGTCTTCCAATCGAGGTACAGTAATCCCTTTTTCCTGCTCTTTTCGGTTCTTCCGGTAGACCCATGTATCATTTGCTGTCAAAGTTAATTTTCCATTCTTCCCTTTACCATTAGCAAATTAATTTTCAACCAGATGGATTGGTTTAAATGGTGAGCACCCCAGAACTCTAAGGCAGCTGTTCTTAGTATTTTATATGGTGGAAATTTTATAACATAATTGACTAAAAATACAATAAAAATTGCAGATGTAATGTCTAACTAAAAGAACACTAACCTTGAGACCATTCCAGGAAGAATGATGTGTGTCATCTAAAGATAGAATAAAGTTTTAATACCTGCACTCAATCAACACTAATCCAGGTAATTAGGCTATTGGTATCGTGGCAGTATAAATATGACCAATCTGACTTTATTCTTCGCTTGACTCTGAAGATGACTTCCGCTCAGGTTGTCGAAACATCAGTCACATCAAACAGTCCTTCTCAGGACTACATCCACCCGGATGATCATAATACTTAGTTTAACAAAGTTTAACTATTTTTTTAAATATGGGTTGTATGGTAAGTTTTCACAAATGTTATTGCAACGTGCCCTCACCAGACACAAGTTTAGACAAGTCTAATTTGGCAGTAGTCTTATGTCAATCATACACTGTAAATATCAAACATACCAAATTCGGCTTCTTTGAAGTCTGAGAACCAAGTGCAAAGCAGAAAATGCAAGACAGGCAGGTAGTAACAGTGGGTATCGCAGCTTGTCAGTAGGGTGATTGTAAGTTAATGTCTGTTGGCCAATGGCTGACACCTTACCATTGTCTGACACCCTATTAACAGATTGATTTGGGAGTTGCATTTTTTTACTAACCATGATTACAGACATGTCATTGACATTGATCATCTTCCAGCAATCCTAGAAAGGAAAGGTAGACTTGGTAATTTTAAAACATTTTCCTGCAACTTTTACTCATGATAGCAAATCCAATATCAAATGAAAATAATATGAAATGAAATGTTACCTATGACTACATTACATGTATATACAAAAAGGTCTCTTGATGTAAAGCAAGTTTTTAGCAAGCTCACCTCTCTCTTCATGTTGGTGAAGAACTCTGGATAATGGGAAACTCCAACATTGTTAACTGAAATAATAAAAAAAACTGATGAAAAATGATTAAGAGTTTATTAATTCACTTGTTCATCCTGCCCTTTATCAATCAGTTCATCAGCAGATCAACTATTTGATTAATTCACCAAATTAATTTGATAATTCACTCATCATTCATTCATTCAATAATTTACCCATCATTCTTTCATTTATTATCATCATCATTCATTTATTCATTTACTCATTATCATCATCATCATTCCAATCATTATCATTCGCTATCATTCCTTTATTTTTTCATTCACCATTCATTTGTTCTTCGTTTGTTTGCTCATTCATTTGTTCATTTATTTACTATTCATTTGTTCTTTGAACGTTCATTCATTCATTCATTCATTTCAATTCGTTCATTCACTATTCATTTGTTGTTTGTCTGTTTGTTCATTCAATCATTCACTTGTTCACCCATCCATCCATTAGTTGACTGACTGACTGATTGATAAATCCATATAAATAACAAAACAGGTTGATTATTATCAAGTGACGTACTCAATATCCCAATGTCAAGTCCATCAAGTTTCTCATCCAGTCCATCATAAATCTCCGCTCCACCACTGAAATCCATGGCAATAACTTTGGTTTTCACCTTGTAAACAGATTCTGTACAACAAGGAGAACAAATTAAACACTATCATTTTATTTATTTTTTAAGAAATGGCTTTCTGTTACATGTACATCCTGAACCAGTTCAAAGCTAAAACTCGTAACCACCCATAATGTATTCACACACATTTTTGTATCACCATCTTTCAATCAGCCTTTAGATCAGAGATAAGACAATCCTGCAATGCTGATTGGATGATGTCCGAGATGAAAGTATGCACCTATATTATTGGTGTTCATATTTTATTTAAATGACTTTTTAGATTTGGGATCCTGTTGTTTGTAAAAAAAACATAAATAGAGTGGTGATTTAGTACATAAAAGCTAAGATAATAGTGCTGGTATAACTGTGAAAAGCTGGTGGCACGAACACCGTAGCAACACGGCAATACATACTCCAGCCAAATCACATTGGGTGAGTATTTACTCTTCATCCAATCAAATACCCGAAACACAGCACGAACATGGACAAGGTCATGCCAAGGTTACGTCACTGCCAGACCAATCACATGGGGAAAAAAACAGCTAATTAATATTTTAGAAAACATCACCATCACGGCATGGCATGCTTATGGCACTGTACTTCTCACAGTTGTGTAAAAACTGCTCTAGCATTATGACTACTTACTTATTTCAGCTTCAAGGTTCTGAAGTTTTTCTAGTGTTCTACTCATGAGTACAATGTTTATTCCTTCTTTTGCAAGCTGTGCAACCAAATATCAATTTATCACAATTAGAAATAATTTATGCTACAATAATAATCATAAGCAATGATGCAATAATATCATTTTAATAAATATAATAACATGTGATTTCATTGGCTTTACATTTGGGGATAACATGACCAAGATAGCTAGCTATAATTCTAGGCATCACAGCCTGGTTGAAGGAAGGGTGGATAGCCTAAGATAAGGATTTATCAATTGGATAAGTTGATGCTGTTATCCAATACATTTATCCATTGGATAAGATTTATCTGTCAGTTAGCACTATACACCCTTCGTACGACCAGGCCCTGGGTTTTTGGCTGTACATGTAGAGAGGGGTCTAAAAAATAGAGAAGATGCACCCTTTTAGTAACTTACAACAAACAACTAATTCTAAGCTAGGAAGGGGGTGCACACTGTGGCTTCCCCCTAATTCTGTCAATGCCCCCTCAATCATGTGGAATCTCATTTTCATTGGATACATACCTCATAGACAAAAGATTTTCCTATTCCATCTGTGCATCCAGTTACCACTATGTATAAAAAAGGGGAGAAAACATTGGATCAAAAACCCGTGAGGTTACAGCATTTTTCCGTTGGTCACCCTGTGGTTGCTATTGCGTAAAAACAGCTGATTGAATTGGAAAGGAAGACTTAATTTGGCATCGTTTAAAACGTAAAATTGGTATACATTTGCCAAACAGCATGCAAATGGAATGCTTCATAGTTGTGAGGAGCGTTTTATGCAACACTTTGGAATGAACTCCTGACATACAGTACCTGCCCAGCTACCAAAGGATTTTAAGTTCTTTTTTATCCCTAGCGAAGGAAGAACAAACGCTCTCAAGCCAGTTACAGCTCTCCTCAGGAGATTTATAAGATAGTAGGCTATGAAACAACCTCCAATAACTTCTAATGCCGTAGAATACACCATGATTGCTGATCCGCAGAGGCTCAAACGAAGCAAGTGACATTCGGTAAATGTGATCAGCGGTCCGACTAAGGACACAGGTAACCCAAAAGGTGTTCATAAACTTAGGCCAGTTTGGTGGCAGAGTAGTAGGATTAGGATTTCTTAACACGAGAGTTACACAATTATGAAAGTACAATCACTGGACAATTCATGCATTTTATGTCTAAATTATTAATTTTGTTAAAATGATTGATTGCCACACCCACCTGGACAAGACTAGGGTACCTTGTAGGGGGTGTGGTCATTTTCAAAATGTCCAAAGATCATTGCAATCCTTTCATATATTGGAGTCCCCAAAATTCTTCAAGTTTTTTTTAAACAGAATGTAAATGTAAATGAATAAGCAGGAATAGTATTTACCACATATTTATTTACAAAGTTTTTTTGTGAAAGTAAAATTGGTAGGTCATCTCAGTCTTTTTATGTATTTCTCATTAATAACTAACGATGACCTTTAAATTTAGTTTGAAGTAGTTTAATATTCTTATTAATATTTGTTACTAATAAGCTTTCAATTATTGCTTTCAGAGACAGTGTGTAATTAAACAAAGTTATAATTATAATAATAAAATGCTTCACTGAATCTAGTAGAGTACAAATACTATAAATGTGTAACCTAAATACCACTAAATACTGCTAAATTATACTAATCCTATTGTTTTCTATTGTTTAATTAGCACTATTTACTACTAATTAGCGCAAAGTGTTGCACACTTTTAGTGTTTGTACTCTATAATATATACTTACACCAACTCACTAAATAAATCATGCTTAAATCTTTTAAGTTAGAAATGAGATGACAAAAAAATTATTAAATTTAATTCTAGTAGTTTTAAATTGTTGGCCTGGCCAGAGATTAAACTGGTCGTAATTAAGTCACTCGTCCTACTGCAAAGGCAAGGTGTGCTTTTTGCATGTTCACGTCTACTACCAATTGTTAGATTGAAGGGAAAAAAAAAAACCAGAATCCCCTTTATTTTAGGAATTGAATACTTTCTCAAGCAAAGTGATTGCATTGTTTCTGTCTTCCAACATGCCTGCAGTCTTAATTACTCATTAGTAATTGAAATGTAAAAAGTTATATTTTCAAAATAAAAGACCTAAAGAATCAATTTAATTATACTCTTAACTACTAATTAAGCATTAATTTGCAAAACAATTTGGCCTACAGGTAAGAGGATATCTTAAATGAATTCACTTTATCAATATATCATTTGCATGATTAGCCTCCATAGTGGCTCTCCAGCATGGGAGTTGCAGGCTATTGCAACATGTAAATAGGCTCTTTGTATGTGACATCAAAGCAGCTCAATTTGGGGGACAATATACAAAAGAAATTCAATCTCCTGAGAATTGGAAACCTATTGCAGTTATGTCCTCCAAATTGAGCTGCATTCTGACAGACCACAAGGGGTAGGAGATACTATTGCCTTTAAACAATATTGTTGTATTTGGGTCAGTTTTTATACCTTCTATTGTATAGACCCAAATGCCTAGACTTGAATCAATTGTTTAAAGTCAATATTGTGTAAGTAAATTCTCCTAACAAAATTATGTTTAAAGTGCCAACCATGAGGATATTCACTAGTTTCCATGGTACAGCTTGGAGTAAATGTATTGACAATACAAGCTTTCTTCTCAGGAATTATAAACTAATAAATAAAATTATATCAATATAGTGATACAATTAGGCCTAGGGCAAACATTGAACTTTCCATGCACTGAAAGAACTTAATAACATCAAAGAATGCCGCCTCATTATCACCTGATATCCATTGTTTTTAATGAGTTCGGTGCATGGAAAGTTGGATGTTTGGCCTAGGCCTTAGATATTTGAAGCAGCCATAAATCTTGCAAATGGATAGACATGACAAATATTCTATATAATAAAATCAGAACTAATAATCAATGGTACTAGCACATACAGAAAGCTTCGATCTAGTTATTCTCCTGTTATCCTATACTAGCCTATACCCAACATTAAAACCCTATCTTTACACTGTACAAAAACAAATTAATCATAATTTTAATTCATGTCTGATGCTCTATAATCAATGAAGCAGGCAAGAGACCTCAGAATAATGCAATACTGAATTCACATTTCATTATGTCATAATAGTTGTGGTTGGCTGTACACCATTTGATGTTGGGGCTGGTGTTGGAAAGAGCCATAACCTCCAGGATGTGGCTGTGGTTGATACTGCTGCATTGGCCCTTGGGGTGCATATTCTTGGGGTACCCCATGCTGTGGGGTGTGCATTTGTTGCTGTGTTACATACTGTTGAGGGGGTTGAGGATATCCTTGGGTTATTGAGGGTGTGGTTGTTATGGTACCAGCTGGGTAGCTTGGAACACCAGGACCTTGGCTGGAGTACGCTGCATTCTGAAATAATTATGACAGTATAAATCCAAAAACAAATTGAGAAAGAAAGGAAGGCAGTAAGGAAGGAAAAAAGGAAGAAAGAACAAGGGAGGGAGGAAGGAAGGAAGGGAGGGAGGAAGGGAGGGAGTGAGGGAGGAAGGGAGGGAGGAAGGGAGGGAGRAAGGGAGGGAGAAAGGGAGGGGATGAAGGGAGGGGATGAAGGGAGGGGAGGAAGGGAGGGAGGGAGGAAGAGAGGACTTATATAAATCTCTGGCATAAATTTACCATTGATGGTTGGGCTGCCATAGGATATGAAATCTGGGAATAGCCTGCAGGTACCTGAGGAGCATACATCTAAATACACAACAAAAATGATTTAGTGAAAACCATTCAATGATACAACATGGAATGAAAATAGTAAGGTGGCTAGCCTTTTTGCACTCAAACATGCTGCCATAAAAATCATTACTCTGAAAAGTTTGTACGACCAAAAATAAGATCAAGACCTTGTGTAACACAGTTTGGCAATAAAGAATAAAATAGACCTTTTTAACCTGGAAGCTATGTTTTCCAACTTCAGACCATGTGTCATTCCCACATGTCATTTCTTTGTTTAAAAGTAGTGCATGAGAAAACACATGACTCAATCAAAGAATTTTCAAAAGACTTAAATAAGCAAAGCAAACATTACGTGCAAGGTGAAAAGGTCTATTGCAATAAAGTGTAGTATAGGACTTTTACTAACTTGTTGATACTGTGGTGGTTGATATCCATTCATTGTTTGTTGTTGATAACCAGCTCCAGCAGCACTGCGTGGCAAAGCACCATACCCAGCAGGCATAGTAGGTGTAGGTGTAGGTGTTGGTGGTATTGGTATAGGTTCTTTCATCAGTCTACAACAACAAAATTTGCCTAAGAAATTGCACATCTCAAGTACAATTCAAATTCTGATTTGTACAAGAAGATTGTGAGATTTTTTGTTTATAATACACTCAACAAAATTGAGCAACTTCATTTGGATTCTAGAATTTGGGATTTAATTGTAATCCTCTTGTCCAATCAGAATGGAGTAATTTCATTGAGTGTATTATGAGCATAGGAAATTGCACGATCTTGGAACAATTTGAAATTTATAGGTACGAGTGATGTTTTGAAAGTTTTCAAAATTGGAAGAGTCTTTTAGGAGAGTCCAATTTGAGAACTTTCAAAACATCATGAGTATCTATAAATTCTGAATTGTATGAGAACATTTAATTTTGTTGAGTTAGTAATTATAATATTACTGATTAGGAGCTTGAAATAAATCCAGAAAATATTTAACATTTAATATATTGTTCATGGGGAGTGATTATCTTAGAGCCAGCCCCCACAAGGTTTTAATCAATTATAGACTTATTTGCTTTGGGCATATTGATTTCCCTTTCAGACCACATGTCATTCCCTAGAGTATTATTGCTTTGTTTAATTGGTTGTGCATGAGTAGGCACATGAATATGGATGCAACTCAAACAAAGAATCTGGTCTGAAATAGGAAAACTTTATGCCCAAGTTAAAATTTAAGGTCTTACTATTAAAAATAATTACATACTTCTGATAAAGTGCAAGGGCCTGAAGATACTGCTCATTCAAAGAAGACAAATCCTGGTGTTTCCTGGTATAATTATTAAATAAATAATTATTATCTCAATGATAATATACAAAAAATTAAATGAACATGATAGGACTTAGACTAGTACTAGTACATACGTTTTGCTATTTTCAATCTTTTCGTCAACTATTTTTTCCATTTGCTGACATGCAACTGAAAAAAACACACAGATCATTAAAAGAAACTAGTAACTTTTAAGACAGTCACATAAAAAATGCTTGCACCTTGTCTTGGCATAAGGGTCTTACATGTACTGTAAGAATCAGATTAAACTAACTAGTAAATGAACCTGGGTCCATCCCTGTAAATGTATGGTGGGAATCAAAGAGTTACATTGTAATATTTATCACAGTTTGAGGAAGAGGATATGGCAATGAAAGGATTGTGACTGGGAGCGGGGTGGGGCGCAAGAGGGGGAGGGGGCAGGGGAAGTATTGGATTACAAGAGATCACACCAACCTTCTAAATCAATGATAGTATCTTCTTGTTCATCATCATTCTCAACACATGCCCCCTTCAACATTGTAATGCACTGCTCGATTTTTTCCTGCAGTGAAAATTGTTTTGGAAATATTAGCTTTTACTAGTCTCTTATGCAATTGATGTTAGTGTCGTCATGCCACGTTCACTCTCCTTATTAGTGAGCATTGCATGACAACACTATTAAATAGTAGCTGCATAGGAGACTAAGCTTTTACTGGATAGTTTACTTTGAATAGAGAACTGTAAACTAATAAAATAAATATATGACTGATTTTTGTTCAAATCTAATACAATTCACCTATACTTACTTCATTTATTTCTGGTTTCACAGCAGGTGCTAAGAACACAAAAAATAGTTTAGATATATTAATATTAACTTATTCTCATGCATATCAGTATCATATCATTTATGACAGGGCAGAAAAACGGGTTCTACATTCGACGTTTATGCGTTTATAAGCTTTATATTTCATAAACAGGCTCTTTTAATTGGGGCTGATTAAAAAAAATCCAAAATTTGGGGAAATTTAAGGAATGAGTATTTGAGATATAATGCCAAGAACGTTGGGAGAGATGATATTTTAATCAGCACAAAAAATAACATTTTCGCTAATACCTTGAAGTAGAATTGCTCGAGGTTAGCAGAATTTCGTGAAAAGTTTAAAGCACAAGAGACACGAATGAAACACCAAACGTTTCTTAGCATGATTGAGAGATAAAGAAAAAATTGTGAAAGTAGCAGCCTTGCTGTTTTTCTGGTCTGTCATCATTTATTAAACTATACATGATTACCTTGCTGTTTTTGTAGTTCTTGATTACCAGCAGGTGTATCAGCCCATCGAACTCTTTTTTTCTTTTCAACCTTGGCTATTACATCACAAATTATACAGCTTTTCAATGTTATATATTATGTAACTTATATCTTCAAATCAGAGAATATTGGTCTTATAATGCGGCAGTAAAGGGGAGGTACTACTCATGTTTCACAAAAGATAAAATGGTAAAATATCATTTCAAGAAATAATGGCCATTTCATGTTTCAAAAAATAAAAATAAAAACAGTCAAATCAAGTTTAAACGAGATAAAGGAAATAACCTTTTCACATGAAAATTTTCAACGAAAAATAAAAATGAAATAACCTTCCACCACCCCTTTCATAATACTGTAAGTATGATTCAAATATTTTTGCTAATTGTTATATCTGTCAACACATTGAACATCAACTAAACCATTAAGCTATTTTATTCATTCAGCATACCTTTAGGCTCTGAGAGGTCAGATGTTACAAAATTTGAAGGGAAAAGTCCAGTAACATCCCTCATTTCCCCCTTCCACCAATTGGCATCACTAAGGAGAAAAATGTAGATAATAATAAAATATCTTATAAAATTACTGTTATAAATCTCGCATTCTGATTGGTTGGGAGCGTGTGCTTTATGAGAGCACACAGCACTCACTCACCCTTTGCATTTTATAAGAGGAATGAAAAACTTGCTTGATTGTGTTGTGTGGAGTTATAAAGCACTTGGAGATTGACAGAACACTCGAGAAGTGTTGAGAAGAACTCCGCTCCACTTGGGGTTTGGCAGAACATTTCTCTCGTGTTCTGCCAAAACCCACGTGCTATATAACTGCACACAGCACGCCCGCGTGTTTTCTATTTCTTCTATAATGAATGAGTACAAAATGCTTTATTAATGCCTTTTTACATCATTACGAGGCCTACACACCTATCTATAATCAATTGTCTGTTGTTTTTTTTGGCTTCCATCAATCAGCCTGAAGCAAGGTGACGTTTTACCCCCGACTCTATACCATAATAGTTTTTAAAATTCTTTCACATTAAAATTTTTGATTCCTTAGAGAATACAATCATAATCATAAGTCATAATCAAAGAACAATAGCAGTGTGAAAAGGATTATGGTATAGAGTTGGGGGTAAAACGTCATCTCGCTTCAGGCTTATTAAATTTCAATCATGACAAATGATTTTTCGATTGACAGAAGCCAAAAACTGCCAGAGATGTCTTGGGCTGAGTCGGTTGCGTTATTATGAAAATGAAAATTGAAGTTAGTTTAATCTGCTACTGGTTACTATATACCTACCTGTCATCAAGGACAGATATGATGTCTCCTGCTTTAAAAGTCAATTCATTGTCTTCAGCAGCTTCAAAATCATAAAGTGCTTTGACTTTCTTCTTACTTTGGCTCTGAAAATTGAGACAAAATAAAAATAAGAAAGGAATAATTTAAAAAACATTATTAATAAAAACAGTGTCCTGGATATTTTTTCACCACATCTATTAAATGCAGGAAGAGGAATTCAAATGTAATGCTTGACCTGATGGTTAATTAACCAAAAACTACGGGTACAGGTTTCTGTTGTTTAGAGACTTGTAAGACATGCATCAGAATACCAGTACCAGTAGCTACATAATGATAATAAGCTCTGTGTCAGACCTCATTAACATGTACCCATATGCAGGGTTGGTGAGGAAAACACATAAACTCGATCCTAAAAAACCTTTGTATGCATTGTGTGCAAAGTTCTAAATTTGGATTTTTGAAAAAGCATCCATCCAAAGCAACATTATTTAAACTGACCCAATAGTAACTGAACCTTTTTAGTCAATGTTACCTACCTTTCTTACGGGAGCATAATATGATGAAGATGAATCCATCACTGATGGATACAAGCTGCTCACTTTTGGCTATTAAACATTCAAAAAGACAAATAAGTAAAAGCCTGGTACATAACACAGTTACAAGTATTCAACAGACTTCTTCAACAGAATTTTTGTAGTCAACATCGTAATGTGGTCATACTATATCTTACTTATCATGCATTGTCATTGGAATAATATAATAATATAATAATATCATACCATGCATGAGTGGTATAACAGCACCATTCATTTTCCAACTCAATACGAAATATGCCATACAGTTTATCTGGTCTAATGTTTAAGTAGTTATTAGGGACTAAATACATTAAACATATAAGAAAATAATTTTATAGCGTATATAATCAATGTACCTTGCTTTCTTCAGCTTCTCTTAAAGATAACTGAATGGCTAAAAGAAAACCCAGTTAACATCAGAAAAACTCATCATCAAGTCATTATACAATACTAACTAACTCCCCCTCCCCTCCTCCCCCACCCCCCTCCCCAAATAGATAAAACATTTATATCCTATCTTTACCTTTGGCAAGGTCTTCATCTTCCTTGGAACTGAGTGCAGAGGAACCTCTTGAAGGACTGCTACTACTGGAGCTCTTACTGCTCTTGCTGCTGGTGTTGGGTGACGACTTTAAAACATTAAATTGATTCATTGTCAGGTTCAAAAGATAGAACATGGAAGCTGAGACCAGATGGAAGATTAACCTTACATGTATGTTTACTATGAAACCATTCAATCTCATAAAATGTCTGTGTCCCCCTTTTATCCCTATCCCTACCCCAACAACCTCTCCTACTTTTGGGCAATGGAAATTGAAAAATGTCAAAGCAGGTCTCGATCTTGAGGGTATAAAACCTATGAAATAATCCCCTTGACTGGTGAATGGATGTTCTCATGGAGCTACACAATGCATGTATATTGAAAAATAATTTAATACATGACAGTGTGCATAGAAAATAATATAAATTTTATATAACACATCCTTACCTTGGAAGAAGAAGGAAATTCAACTCCATCTGCTGCTAGTTGATCGCGCATAGTAGAAACGAGACTAAAACCAAATTCAACTGTTAGTATACACTACATGTAATAACTCTAATAATAATCTAATGTAAATTGTATGGTACAAGTACGCGTATTATAGCAAGGAAAGCTTCCATGTTTCACTCCTTTTACACTTCTTATGCCATCCCAGGTTTTGTCCTTTCTTGTGTGGAAGACCACAGCTGCAATGGATATCTTAAAAATATTACCAATGTCAATTTACCTTAATTGTGAGTCATCATTAAAGATACCAATCATTTCCACAATAATTTCCTTAAACTTTTCCAGTACTTTTGGATGTGTCTGAAATAAAGAAATGCAATTTCAAATATTATTTTTATATTGGGAACCTAGAATGAGCTAGATAGTGCTTTCTATATCAGGAGGAATCTTCACTTCCTCCCAAAAAAACCCACAATTTTAAAGAACTCTGAAACAACATACCTTGAAAAAAAAATTAAAAAATTCTTTAAAAAATTAAAAAAATTTTTTTTTCAATTAAAATAAATTAAATTAAAAAAATAACAAAAAAATAACAAAACATATCTTGATCATCAATACCAGGGTACTACATATACATACTTTTAACTCACATTTTTACATGGAATATTACAATTAATCAATAATTAATTACTAATTATTAGCACATTGGGTTTAAATTTGCAAACATGAAAGCAGGAAAACTAGAGAAAACTCAAAGAAAAACCAGTCTCAACTCATTGTAGAGACCATGCAAACAAATCCTATAGATCCCTTGCAGCACTTTGGAATGCAGTTCAATCTGGGGACAAAAGAATAGGTTCTAATTCTCAGGAGATTGGAATTCTTTGGTCCCCCCCCCCCCCAGTTGCATGCTGAGTCCAGGATTCTAGAGGCAATTGCCCTTAAGCACCACCCTTGATTCCCTAATGAGTTCCAGTGGTTCTCCCCATAAATAACTCTAAATGCAACTACACTTTATACATAGCAGGCCTTGAAATAATGGCCGGACATTGGACAGTGTCCGTCCAGAATTACATAGGACTTGTCTGGTCAAATCTTTCCCTTGCTGATCCCCTTGACCAGTAATGTTTAGCCACAAATGAGGTATGATTAAGCTAAAACTAATTTGGCTTGTGATTATAACCAGCAAATGATTGACCATTATTTTAAGTCCTGCTTTAATAAGTCACCCTATCTTTACCCTTGACTGTAGAATAGTTTTAGCTTCACTGACAAATTCCCTGGAGCAGATTTCCAAGTGAAAAACTTTACCACAATTATTTACACAAGCTGATAATAACTGTTAATAAACAAATAAATAAAGAAAGGAATTAGTTAAGTAAATAAATAATAATTTGTCACAATTCAAAACATTTTAGAAACCTTTTTAAAGGCCTCACACATAAATCATGTACCAGCATGCATGTTAGATGGCAGAACAACAAAATCACTATACTCTAAGAAATTGTATTATTTCTCATATAAAATTATTGTATTGCTTCTACCATCAAACATGGCTGCACGCTGCCATTACAGATGTGCAATATCTCTATTAGTAATTACCCTCTACATTATTTTATTTGAATATATTATCAGTATGTTCCTTACAGTTAATGCTTGCATGGCGATGTGAGGATTTCTGTTATTCACTCGTTTCATGATTGATCTCAGTGCATCTTTGGGGCTGAAAAAACAAACATTTTATCTATGACCTACATGTACCAGTACTTAATTCTTGGGTCAATTTCAAAATTGTATCCTGTAATGTACCTATCATGACATGCAAATGAATATAGAATGTAGTGGTAGTGTGTGTGGAGCGAACCTCATGGAAGAACCCCTTATGGGGAGTGATGGTTGTACTAAAATATAAAATATTTTATATATATATATCTATATATATATATATATTCCTTTCAAACACTCCGATTAAAAATAAATTCAGAATGGTTTGATTGACAGCAGTGAAATGCCAGATTTGCAATGCGAATTGAACTGGCACCAACACATAGTTATGAACATAGTGGTAATGTGGCTTTGAAAAACTCAGCCCAGCTGTTTCTGTACATCAGTACGAAATCATGACAAAGCATTATATTGTATACAGGACATTGAATACGTATCTCTGTATACATGGAAATGACGTCACTATCGATAGCACGTCGCTTACAAATATTAAGTAAGGTTTTCTACAAAAGATAAAATTTCAGAAACACACAAACTACTACTCAATATTAAATATTTTCTAAGTCTAAGTTTGAAATCTACTTTTTAAGTTAATGAGATTCGATGAAAAAATTCTCTAATGGCACGTAAACAAACGCAGGATGAGTTTCTTTATACTCACTAGTTTTCAAGCCTTTTTTGTAGACATTTTGAGGATTTCTTCTTGTAATTACATTCACTATTATAGGTTTAACCTTACCCTGTCGTTTCTCGGGGAATACGATCACATATTTCCATAATCAACTGCCAGTCTTCCGTGGTATTCAATTCACTTGTCGCCTTTTCTACAAGAACCAAAGTATGTCCGACATCTTTAAGCGTTCAATATGACGCAAAAACGAAGCAGTTTGCCTTCAAAACTTACCAACTTCGGCATCGTAAGACGAAGAGCTTGTAAAAAGCGGCATGGTGGAGTTTCTGCGACTTTATGAGCGTAAATCAGAGGTTTTAGAGACGAGACATTCGCGAATAAATCCTTGTTGTTGGCTAATACCGTAATCTTGTGAAAATTGAGAGTGTGAATATGAAATGATTTGGTCAGCGGCAATGAATAGATAGATACTTCATGTATTTATCAAATTAGGTTTCATTGCGACACTTGATGTCTTTTAGGTGTCAATCAACAGATCTTGCGGATATGGGTATAGGACGCTTATAACCCTAACCCTAACCTTATTAAATCGCGTACGAAATATGGAAGCCCTATCCGCACTTCCGTAGGATAATAAACGGATATTACTTTTCTTTTCAAATGACGTCCCTTCAGTTGTTTTTTTCCAATCGATAAATGAGATCCCATTTCCGACTAGGGTTTGAATATCCATAGCCCTATACCTTTTATTAATTAACTGAAATATTTCACTTTTCCCATTATCTTTGGTCGATCTCTTTTGATGGTGTTTTGCAATTTGCAATCCATTTATTATCCCGTACTCCTATATGCTCAGAGGCATAATCCTGACGGAGCTTCACAAATGCAGAGTTAAAAAATGCATGGTGCAAGAGATATTATTTACATATCTTACTATAAGATTTGGAACTTATCGTTGAAATTAAAAAGATGATTGTTCCGTCATACAAAAATATTTCCTTGACAATGACGAGAAAAGGGGGGAAACGATATCCACAAAACTGCATGACTCTATGAGAGGTGCGCAGCAACAGTGACAGCAAATCGCGATCGGCAAGAAGGTTAATACGCAGAATATACTTGAGGGATATAATTTAAAAAAGGTATCAGTTAAAATTTGTCAACTACAGGTGCAGACAAATTAAACAAGCAAATACAAACAAAAACCTGCGTTCAGCGGCACCAACGATTAAGTTCTTGAAGTACGTTTATCGTCGGCGGATAAAAGGAAAAACGCTTCCGGGAACTCCAGGACTGCTTTCGTGACTATTATTGGCTTTTTCACTAACTCCTCTTTTGATTCAGTGAAAAAGGTACGGAACATAGGAAGACAAGGAAGAGAAACACACTACGCAGAATACGACAAACTTTCTCCCTAAATCACTTCCACATTCTATCTATAGCGAGACTTCAAAAACATTTTATGGAATTTCCCTTTTTTTTTCTTTTTGAGCTCTTTTCCTTGTTTTTTCTGGAATTAATCTAGTCCGCAAATTCCAATTAAAAGCAAGCGCATTTCTTAGAATAGAGTGTCTTTCCGGGCACTGACATGCCTTTCTACATAAATAGAATATAAATGCTGAGGCTTGCTCTATTTGCATAGCTCCATTGGCCTTAATCCAGCTCTTTCCAAGACAGGGCACTGACATGCCTTTCTATATAAATAGAATATAAATGCTGAGCCTTGCTCTATTTGCATAGCTCCATTGGCCTTAATCCAGCTCTTTCCAAGATGAAGTATCATCCATTCAAATTATTTTATTATTATGTCTAACAAAACAATCCACGAAAGGGCGTAGTCAAGGGAATTTTCCCACGGTGTCTTCCTTTTTCCTCGTTCCCAGTCCCAAAGGAACTTTAGGAGCCAATGTGACGCATGCGCGTAGCATCGATTCTGCCACATAACCATTATGGCTGCCAAACATTGCCGATGTTTTTGAAATGCTGTGATTTTTTTCCCCTTTTTCTCAAAACCCTGGATGATGTACTCCTTGAAAAGAAAACTACTTATGGACAGATAGAAGCGGAGTTGTTCTGTGAGGAGATGTTTTACTCGGTGCAAGTCGGAGATACGGTTTTTGTCGTCTTGAAACGCTACCAAAATCTTCAACCTATTGGTTCGGGAGCGCAAGGAATGGTCTGGTAGGTTCATCAACAATTTTTTTTATCTCTGTATTCCGGGTTTATCAACTTAATGCTAAGATCTAGCTTTCGCAATACCATTTGTTCTTATTTTTAGCGATTTTTTCTTTAATTCCTATTTTACATGTCCCTAAAATTCATCGTGATCTTTCGACTTTGCCCTTCAAGATAATCAACTTCTCGAGCGAGACGCAAAAATTAATGGTTTACTACTTACAAAACCATTGTACTTTGACGGATTTGATTAGCTTAATAATTGATTTGGATCCTAAAATAATAGTTCATCGATATATTCAGTTTTTACGACCATTTCCCTCTTTTATTTTCTATATTTTATGGGATAAGACTTGACGAAATTCTGCTTGTGAAAACCCAAGGTCAAGAGTGTTCCATTTTAACATAACTAATGGTTGTCGTCAGGTGACGATCACTCACAATCCACCGATCTCTAAAAAATACATATAAATAAACGTATATATGAAGCTTCTATAACTTCAATGACTCTCAATTCAATTTGCATCGTTTTATTTCGTTGTCCAATATTATTTTCTTATCCTAAATGAGCCAAAAAAACAGACAACATCGTACAGTTCGAAAATAATTCCCTTCCATCAAACAATCATGTTTTCAATATTGTAGGATACTGATAACATCTATTTTACGGTAAATTTTGCCTTATTTTTACCGCGATCGCAGACTTTATTTTGCAGACGCCAACATTTTTATTTATAGCAAATGTGATACTATCCCGACATACAATTATTTTGCTGGTTGTCTATTCTTTTATAAAAGGTTTTCATTGTCATTTGCTTGTGGAATTGGAGTGTTCTTCACTAGTATCTTGACATTTATGTTAAAACATTTTTAACCCAAATAAAAACTTGGCCAATAATGTTACTAGAATGGTTGAAATTTTTTGGATATTTTCGATTTTTATTTCTTTTGTGCTAAGAAAAATAAAGGAAGTATTTTCTTAATAAAGTCACTCTTATCGTAATGATCTTTCTAAAGAAAGAAATATTTATTTCTTGATGTTCAAAAATTTTTAAATAGCTTATTTATTATATGTCAAAATTATATGTTATTGTAATTATCACCATTTCACATGGTAGTAAAAAGATATAACTAGCTAAAAACTAGTGTGAGMTGCGTCGGTGTTTCTAATGAAACAGTAATGATGAAAAGGTAAATTATACACCGTGAAAAGATGAAAAAACTTACTGACGTTTCGGACGCTAGTCCTTCGTCVGAGTAAAAGAGAAAGAACAAAGAGAAAGAGAAAGACTTCTTTCTCTTTTATTCCGACGAAGGACTAGCGTCCGAAACGTCAGTAAGTTTTTTCATCTTTTCACGGTGTATAATTTACCTTTTCATCATTACTATTTCACATGGTACTTGTTCATACCTGAGGAAAATTGTGAAAAATGTTATACTGACAGTCACACTGACGCAATCATGTGGAAATTTTCTCACTTTCCTCCTTCCCTCCCCTCCCCCCTCCCCCAAAGAAAGTGATCCATAAAGGGAATTTGCTTGGTCTGTAAAATAATAGTCAGCAGAAAAACAGAACTGTTTACTTTCGTTTTACTTGGACTGTTAGTCACAAGTTATACAGCTTTGTTTCACTGGTCAAGTAAAATCACTCCATTGCACTCTTTATAACACTTTTTTGTGACTTTTTTTGACTTTTGACCCTGGACAATTCACTGTATCAAAAAGCTCCATATGCTTAATGCTTATATTTGTAACATATCCTCAACTTTTGGGAGATTTTACATTACAGTGTGACTTCTATAAATGGAGTTACCTTGACAGCAAGAACCAATCAAATTGTAGAATGAAAACAATATATTCCAACTTTGGTTAGTAGAGCCAATCAGAAACCAGCAGAAAACAATAGCTGTTCAAAATATCTTTTTATACCTACAGTGTATGAGAAAATGGTGATGGCTATCATCTAGTTGTTCACACATAACAGTGTCAAATTACCATTCTTGTGCAGTCTAGGTTTCTGATTGGCTTGGCATTGCTTTTGATTTCACTGTCAGACTGACTTCCAGGATCTTTAGTCATATTTTTCCTTTTCATTATTGGTGTCTATTGGACTTTTGAAATCTCTGTCAAAAATTATTGGGGTACAGGTACTTAGGGGACATGGGAAGGTGGACTTCAAAGCTAGATTTTACTGAACTTGAAAGTCTGCCACCAAAATATCTTAATATATAAGCCACTATAATACATTCCCAATAAATTTCTGTCATGACTAGTGTTTGGCTGACTTTTCCTCTATCATGAAACTTGGTTTCGTATAAATGTTTTGCAATTAATTCTTACGTGAATTTATTGTCATTTCAGTGCTGCTATAGACACATTGACAGGTAAAAAGGTTGCGATCAAGAAACTAAGCCGTCCTTTCCAGAATGTTACTCATGCTAAAAGAGCTTACAGAGAACTGGTTCTCATGAAAATGGTCAACCATAAAAATGTATGTAGAAATGAATAATATCTGTAATAGTAATAGTAATAATAAATTAATAAATTAAATATATAAAATGTCACCTGGCAAGTATCCCAACTACTACATTGGTAGAATCTTTAAATATTAATGCAATAATTGTAGTCCCAAGGCAGAGAGGGGTGGGGGGAACTTACCTAATGGAGTATTATTACAGTACACTTTTAATGTGTACTTTCTTACTGTCTTACGCAGATTATTGGGCTTTTGAATGTCTTCACACCAGACAGGAACTTACAAGAATTTAATGACTTGTGAGTGTAATAATGTTGAGCTTTCTATCTGATTTGTTAAAGTCTATGGGAATCCACAGGCAACCCACCATGCACTGCAAGAACTTGAATTTAACATCAGGTTTTCTGTGTCCAGGTATTTAGTGATGGAACTAATGGATGCTAGTTTGTGTCAAGTTATTCAGATGGATTTAGATCATGAAAGACTATCATACCTTCTCTACCAGATGCTTTGTGGAGTTAAGGTATAATGCTATTGAACTTGTGTTTACATTTTCATCTGCTTATTTATAAAACTGTCCTAGACCCTCAGCACTGCGTGTGCCAATATTCATGTGTAGTGTTGGGCCCCCTGTGGTAGGTTGTGGAACCACCACAGGTACCCCATAAATATGTGAATATACATTCACTTGATCTTTATCTTATTGCTCATGAAGTAATGTTGGAAATGTTGTTAATACTTGATATTTGTTTGATGATCTACAGCACCTTCATGATGCAGATATTATACACAGGGTAAGGAGTTTTATACTTAACAAAATAGCCTAATAATTCAAAGATCAAAATAGTCGAGAATACTCAATCTCAATTCAAATGATTAATGCTTAATTAACCTGTGTTTTCAGGATCTCAAACCCAGTAATATAGTCGTCAAATCTGATTGTTCGCTCAAGGTTTGTATTAAAAGATCTAGATATGTTTATTACCAAGTAGGGACATGGTGAGGGGGTGCACAGGGCCCAGTTGTTCAAAGCCCGATTAGTTCTAATCCTGGGTTAACTCTTAATAAGACCTATAGAATTAATCCTGGATTAGCGTTAATCCAGCTTTGAACAACCGGGCCCAGGACTCTACTGTACAGGGCTTAGAATAACAGCCAGACATGGGACAATGTTCAGCCAGAATTGGAACTTTTCTGGTCAAATCTTTGTTTTCCTGGTTATTTTGACCAGTAACGTTGAGCAAGAAATGAGTTATGACAAAGCTAAAACTGTCTATCATCATGAGCGGCAACTTACTGGCCATTATTTTAAGCCCTGCTGTATGTGGTGTTGTACCTCCCTTTATCATTAGCAACATTAACTTTATACTGACATTGAACTTTTATCAGATTTTAGATTTTGGTTTGGCAAGGACAGCAGGATCTGCCTTCATGATGACACCATATGTGGTAACACGGTATTACAGAGCACCTGAGGTTATCCTTGGTATGGGATATAGTGATAATGTGGATGTCTGGTCTATTGGATGTATATTAGCAGAGATGATACGGGGACATGTCATGTTTCCTGGAAGTGATCGTATCCTTTGATTTTCATTATTGTACCTTTTAATTTTAGCATGCATTATTTTGTTGTCCATGTCAGAATTTTAGTAAATTCTGTAGAACTTCAAAGAGTTTGTATCGTTGAAGTTGTACATTCTTTGTCTTCACTGGTACTGCTGGAAATGATTCTGTTATGCAAATGATTCTGTTATACAATAAAGATCTGTGGTGAAATCAGGTATTACATATATTACATTAGATTCTATTAATTTATAAGTCACTTAAGCTATTACATGGACCTACATGTAATAATAATAATAATAATGACTTTAATATAGCGCTTATCCATAGCTGTCCTAAGTGCTTTACAATCAATCAATCAATCAAGTGAGTGTAAGTGATGTAAGTGAAAAGGCTAATTGAATTCAAGAATACTGGGTATAAAGCCTTAATTGGATTTACCTATAGACATTGATCAATGGAATAAAGTTACAGAACAGCTAGGGACTCCATCAGAATCCTTTCTTAATCAGCTACAACCATCGGTAAGGAAAGCATTTAGTATGCATCTTTAATTTGTTAGTAATAGTATTGGATGAACGAAAGATAAATTATTAACCCCCTACCTATCAATGTGATTTTTCATGGAGATAAAGGCACACTCTTTAACCAATCATAAATTATCTTTTGATTTTCCCCTATTAAGGTTCGAATGTATTGCACCAGAAGACCTAGACAGCCTGGTTATTCCTGTGAAACTCTCTTCCCTGATGAACTATTCCCCCCTGGAAATAAACTTAAAGGTAAAAATATTGACGTGTAGATTCTTACTACATTGAAATGATACTGACATCTTATTGGTTGTAAACTCAATGCATTTGCAGAGAGAAATAAGAATTTTTTTTTGTTTATTTTAGCTGCTCAATGCCGAGATTTACTATCCAAGATGCTTGTTATTGACCCAGCAAAGAGAATCAATGTTGTTGATGCAATGAATCACCCTTATGTAAATGTCTGGTATGATGCAAGTGAAGTCGAATGTGTAAGTTCTTTTAACAGGTTTCATTAGTAAGGTGTATCTTATCAATATTATTGATATCATTAGATGAACAAAGGGTCAACTTGATTCATTCTATCCAAAAGGTCCATAAAAAATACCAAATGAACTTCTCAGATGTATACCTTCCCCTCTCCAGAAAAAATTTGCAGTAACAAATTTGACCCACACATGATAATATGCTAAGTCGATAGTTTCAAAAAACTCCTTAGAGCCATGTACCATTTGTTGGAAGTCAAAGTTAATTTCCCATTTTTTCCTTACCATTAGCAAATGAATTTCTGACCAGATGGATTGGCTTAAATGCCGAGAACCCCACTACTTCATTAAACCAACCAACCAGTTCCCCATTTTGACCACTTTGTCATAATCTGAAATTCCACAGCCTGTTACCAAGAAGTATGATCACTCAATAGATGCACAAGAACACACTGTAGAAGAATGGAAAAGTAAGACTGTCTTGTCATTAAAAGAGTACAACATGTACAAACAAACATTATTACCGCAGTACAAATTTATAGTCTATATACACCTATTTCAAAAATCGTTGTCGCACCAAGAGCCTCAAGTAACAAGCCAAGGCTCCAGAGAACGTCRGTACTTTTAATTATAATTGATTTATTCATGGTTCATGCAAGTGGCTATAGCTCTACACTAATTATCATCTCAAGCAGCCTTGCTTGGAGCAATTTGTGAAGTCAATAAATGAAATGCACCATGAATAAACTAATCACAGATAAAAGTACCAGTGTTCTCTGCAGTCTTAGCTTGTTGCTTGAGGCTTTTGGTGTGACAACAATTTCTGAAATAGGTGTATATATTCTCATATACATGGTAAGGTGTCAGTCAGTAAGTGGTCAATAATTTAACAGTAAGATATAAGTAGTCGGTAAGTGGTTGACAAGTCACTTAACAACACCTTCCCAACAGTGCATTTTGATCACAACAACGGCTAATTCACAAAGGTTATTTTGCAAATCTTTCATTAAAACCCTGAATTACAGTACTTTTTCTCTTATTTCTTCTGTAGAATTAATATATCAACAAGTATTATCATATGACAGTAGTCAACATGATACCATACCCATGGAGGGCAATGGTGACGTGACTCAGTCAAACTCTACTTCTAGTATATCATCAAGTGGTAGGTAAAGTTCAAATATACCAAAGACTGCATTATAGTATGGACCATAGTTTTTACAGAAGTAAGAAACTAATGATAGGGTGATTTTATTGAACACATGAAAAAAATAGTATGCATGATAGTTAGTAGTAGACTCTAAACCCATTGCTTTCTTTTGTTTTTTTATCCACTAGTAATAACTAAATATTAGCAGTTTTTCTTTCACGGGTTGAGTAAAATCACTCTACACACTGAAACATATCAGCTGTGTTGGATGAATAGTAATCTTGAAGGCACACTGATATTAGTTCTACTGTACAAAATAATATAATAAGTAGGGCTAGAAGTAATCGCCAGTCATCAGACAGACAATGTCCAGCGAGAATCCGAACTAAGGTTTGGTCAAATGTTTTCCTTGGTGGTCATTTTGACATTAACGTTAACTAAGCCAGAAATGAGGCGTTACCTAACTTGGCCAGTCATCCAGATTCATTCATGTTCAGTGTTTCAGTATGATATGGTCACAGGTTGCCTTTTGTCACACTGTTTATCATACAGCATCCTGAGTCCAAACACTGGATTTCAGAAAATTATTTGGTAAAGGTTTCAGCAAAATCATTGTCTATCCAGCTGTGAATATCAGTGTACTACTTTAGAATAAGATATGCTGCAGTAGATCCCTTGAAACAATGTTCAGAATAATTATTGTTCTTAATCTGGGCATCAAAACGAAAGAATTCCCTTGTCTTGTAGTGATTGAAATCTTTTTAACATTTATTTTTGTCTTGTTTTGACACCGACATAAATAGGGTTTTTGTTTTAGGGGTAAATAGGGATAAGCACTTCAGCTTTGACAAATAATTGTTAAATGTAGTAATTCGATATTAATGTAAAATCTAAGCAGAAAAACAACTTTTATCCAAATCAGGTAAGCAAGGTCACTGGTTTTATACCATATTTTCAGGAATCCTAGACTTGACAGGACATTTTGCATCTCAATAGGTTAGCACTCATTCACAAAGACTGAAAGGACCTTTAGGTGTCAATAGAACAAATCTATGTACTGGTCACTGACTGGTTCTATTGTCTTATATCCAATAAGTCCTTTCGTCTGATGTAAATGCGTGCTAACCGCATCTCAAAAGGTTGCTATTCAATAAATTTCATTTCTCAAGAGAGTATTCTATTTTTTGTCTTGCAAATGAGCTCCTATCATGGTCTTTCCAGCCTCTTTGTTATTCTATGAAATAAGAATTCATTCTTATGTTTTTCCATTTCATATCACTTGTCATTCCCTTGAAGAGGCACGCATAAATGTGCGGTCACAACTCAAAAGATCTCGTACTCAAGGAAATGACATGAGTTTTGAAATGGGAAATACTAAAAAACTAAACTAAAAAGATCTTTTCAAAAATTTTGTAAGGGAAACAAACTCATTTTCCAAACGAAATCAGTAGCTGCACTGACAATAGGTCTCCTTGGCTCAGGCGTGTTCGGTTACGTATGTTTTCCCTTTTCACACCACATGTCATTCCCTAGAGAATCATTTCTTTGTTTAATGGTTTTGCTCAGTTTCRCATAAGAAGACAGTCAAAATGAATATAGATGCAACTCAAACAAAAAATCTGATGCTCAAGAGAATGACATGTGGTCTGCAATGGGAAAACATTAAGCCTGTCCCGAGGAGGTCTATTCTAAATAAACTTAGCATTTATTCAAATTAACTCTCACTTTAAACAATAAATCCATACAGATTCCTTATAACAACATGTGCTAAACTAACTTAACACAGGAGGCAAGCATAACATAATAAGAATTTAAAATAAATTGTGATTAACCCTTTAAATTTTCTTAAAACTGTAAAATTATCATATACATTTTTTTGAAATTTTCTTAATTTTTGTATTTAAGATAATTTCCATCCAGAAATCTTTTTTGTTCTGTTCTTTTTTGATTATAATAATCAAAACTGTAAACTGACATTTTAAAACTAAGTTGTTGTTGCCACTTGGTGTGTAAATCCCCAGGGTCTGAAGCCAACATAAAGAAACAAAGTAAACGTAAAAAGAGAGACACACCAGGGACTTCCAATATTAGTGCCAGGTTAGTAGCCCCTCCCCTCCCCCCTCAAATTTGTCAGGACTTAACAAATATTCACTCTTCTTTGTAATAGACCTTTACTGAATTTGCTTGTCAATGAGTGACCATGAAAAAATGGTTGCAAGTCGTCCAAAGTTGGACTTAAACTACTGTTAGTTAATGTATGATAAACACTTCAAGTCCAACCTGGACTTGCAGCCAATTGTTTTGTGGTCACTCAAGCAAATAGAAAAGAGACTCCCTTGCACACTTTCTTTTGTTCAGTTGATTAGCACCAATTGTCTTGCCATTCTCATGACGAAATACAAATTTGAATAAGAAAGGAAGAAGTAGTAAAATGATGCCATGTGCAAATGCCCCATGTAGAAAAGGTCTATAATTGTGGATTCATTTACCAGTATTGACCTAGTACAGAGTCTGTGTACAAAGTTCTGATAGACTTTCTTTGACTTTAATGGACAATGTCTATTGTACTCCACTCTATTACTAAATGATTGTGCAAGGAGTCAAAAAATAAAAAAATTAAAATTTTCTAAAATATATATTCCAATACTATTTATCTTCAAAATGTTCCCAGCTCTAGAAGCCTCTAGGGAGGGGCAGAAAAAGAAACTACTATGTAAGCTCCTCAAAGCCCTTTCCTCCTCTCCTTGACACAATAGTAACTTGTTTGTTGTTCTAAGGTTTAAACAAACTCCAAGGAAGAGTGAATCCCCTTCAATTATGTGAGTCCTCTCAGGGGACCATCAGAAATAAACCATCTGCTTTTCACCAACATTGAAAAAAAATTGGAGAAGACCCTGACGTTTACCTTCAATAAAAATAACTGAATGTGGCAAAAACTAGCCAAATTATATAATGAATTTATAAAATGATACACAAATTTTCTATAAATTATTTTGTCAATAAATAACTAAATGCCATAATGTGCCTCCTGACACATTATTCACACTTATTTTCTTTTTGCTTCTCTTCCATATTTTATTTTTATTACCTAACTTTCTAATTATATCAGATACGCTAAACTATTTGAGGCTTTATTGTTGAATTTTAAAACAAGCGCTTGATACCTATTTTACAGTGCTTCTCAATCACTTGCATGAAATTGTACAATTTGCCGTCGTAACGAAGTACAGTAGGTTTTGGTGGACGTCAATCAATGCATTTCCATGACATTCCATAGGCACGTGCCCTTAAAAGCTTTGTGTTTTCCGACAATGCTTGGAACCACTTTGATTGGCCTCCACCAAAACTTTATTATGTCTCGAAAAATCATTTTACGATTTTGCACGTGATTGAAATGCGCTGAAAAATTAAATTTACTAACACCTACGCTCTAATGGGTCTCATGTAAAAAATACTAACTTCCCCTTTTTGAAATTCAAAGTAATCTGTTGATGACCCTGTGCTCTCTAGTGCATAGCATTGTGGGAATGAATTTGAGAAGGCGGAGCTAATTCTGATCTCATCCCATAATCTTATGCAGATTAGCTTAGAAAAGGTTTTTCCTTACATGGGAAGGTCAAGAAAATATGATGCATTTGTCAATCTTGCACTTAAAACAAATTTCAACATGAATGCTCTTACACCAACAACACATACAGCATACTGTATGCATCCACAAATAAAGATCACTCACAAGTCCTTCATTATTAGTTTATAAGCACTGTGATTTTCATAACTCATAATGGAAGCAGCTTACTCATATCCCACAGCTTTATCCCCTCTTTGTGTCGTCATATGACACTTTAGTTTACCTTGAAAAAAATTTATGGTAAAAGAATACCAGACTGAGGCAACATCCCATGACAACACTGGGTCACTATTATCAGTTTGTCTGAGTAGATCTCTTATGACTGTGGGGTGATTGAGGTGTGGTCACTCTAATGGCAAAGAAGTAAACCAATCACAATGTGCAAGGTTACTGTTTATCCAACCATATAGGGCTCAGACATGGTACCGTCATGGCTATGGCATGTTGTGTACCATCTTAGTCAAAGGAAATCTGCCGTCTTATAGTTTGATGATTCTAAACTCTACATAATAATAATTATAATAATGGTTTAATTTATTCTACCTTGTTAGTATATTGTAGTCTTTGTTCATGTATTCCGATCTTCATTGGTTTGTTGTCTTGGTTTTACAGACACCTGTGTTGACCACTTCAGTGGGTGTTTGAACTTGATCCATAGCCCAAAAATGACCCAAGTACAAGACCTTGGTTTCAACACTTGCTAAAAACGTTTTATTTTTATTCTCAGAATCAGACAGATGATCAAGGGTGATGATTGATTCGTAACTCCTTGAAGACTCAATCCAATATTAAACACTGCGCAACACAAGACCAACCCAAGAATATCCTCTACTGGTTTGGCAACAATTTCATCAATGCCTATATATGTCACCGTTACTTCAGAACTGTTTAAACTTGAAGAACATCTTAGGAAGATTGTTTGGAACCATTGAGAAAGAATAATATTGCAAGGTGAAATAGTTTTATACATAAAAAGAATGAAAAGCTACTTAGCTAAGAGTTAAGTATTCTTGTCGAATGTAGAGAGTGAGAGTTGTACAACGGCGACTGTCATAAAGAACTAATACTAGATGAGGTACACAGATCAACTTAATCATAACTATTAAACTAGTTAAGCCCTGGTTTGTTTTTTTTTTAACCCAATAGACTCTTTTCTCAACACTGTGCATGCTTATGAATGAGGAAAAGAATCTTCAAAACTCTGTAATAATGACTAACAACGTTGAATTTTATCAAAGCAGAAACAACCTCTTTGTGGATGAATGTGCATGCACGAGAAAAGGGTCTATTTATCCAATCATATATTGCAGATGCAATTCAGTAAAAATTGGATGAGATTCATTAATCATGGGTTTTGATTGGTTTGAAGAGAGGTTCACTGTTTAGTAGTTTCCTCATCGTACTGTACTCTGTCAACTTTGATTACTGTAGTTGGTGATTTTTTAAACCATTGATAGTAAGAATGGTTTTACTTAAACCTTGAACTGTTAGTAAGACTAAATAGAAGTTAGTGGATCTTATTTCCATGTCAGCTTGACTATCACACTGATTTATAAATAAGTTAGTTTTTATTTCATGAATAAGTACAATCACTAAGTTTGCTTCACCAAATTTCAAAACCAAACTATCGCAGGAGGATGTAGAAAACTAAAGAACTTCATACTTAGCTTTAAATGCTTCGTGACATTTCAATGTCTGTTTGTCTGTCTGTCTGTTTATGTCCAGGCATGCCTGTCTGTTTGTCCGTCTGTCTGTTTATGTCTGTATGCCTGTCTGTCTTGTCTGTATGCCTGTCTGTTTGTCTGTCTGTCTGTCTGTTTATGTCTGTATGCCTGTCTACCATTATTATTTTCCGTCTGTCTGTTTGTCTGTGTATTGGTCTATTTTCATGTTTGCAAATGTTTATCCATCAATGCCTGTCTCTTTTTGTTCATCTGCTTCAATGTCTGTCTGTCTTTATGTTGCATGTCTGTCTGTCTGTCTCTCGTTGTTTTTCAACAAAAGGGGTTCAGATAAGATAAGGGTCAACAGCCTGAACACCACTTCAAACAGTTCCAAAGAACATAAAAAAATTGATACAAAAATTTGTTTTGGATATGTTGTCTTGACAACCACTGATTCGCACTTGCAAAGGATGTTGGGTGATTGTAAGCCTTTGTAAAAACAATGCCATTAAACAGAAAGAGAATATATTATTATTATTAAAATTAATTTCATAGTTATATTTTTCATTGTCACTACTAGTTACTACAATAATTTATGAGCCATTTCGTTAAAGAAAAGCATCCTGGGTCTAAGTAATAAGTAAACCACGGAAGTCCTAAGCACAAGTCTGATATTTTATGCTATTATTAAGTGCAAAAACTATAACCATCAAAAAGAACTACATTATATAACTAGTACACTTAATGGTAACAACTTGCACTCATGAAACAATAGGATAGAACGCTATTTTGTACTATTTGGGACAAGATATATTTAGTGCTAAGTATTTCATGATTGCATTAATTTGAGCAATTGCTGCAAACCCTTTTAATTGCCTCAGTTCTCTGAAGGGGGAGGGGTGAACAATATTATAGTGGTAGCTCACCCTTTATACCACCTCATCTGGGAGTTGACAGGGTTCACCCAGTCATGGAAAGCCGTGAAGTTGAAGATTTTTGCCAAATTTAATTTTAAATGGCAGTTGATGATTATTTAAGAATATGTAGTTCTAGAAAATATCCATACCTGATCCACAGAGGAAATTGGAAATTATGGAGGGGAAAGGTTTAAGGGAAAGAACAACATTACTGAGTTTGTATGGAAGAAAATTGGAAATGCCAGGGGTTAGAGGGGTCCTTTTACACATTCCCTCCGTGGTGGGGGTGGGGATATTTTCTGGAACTGCACAATGAAACACTTTGTAACTGCATTGCAGTTTGATTTTTTTAGGTTATTTAATTGAATGGAAAGTGGTGGAATGATATTTGTTCTGTGTGAACCCTTGGGAGAAGTAACATTAGAATAGCCCTACCTTAACATCTCAACCCCTTATGGGGGGAGGGGTCAGCAGTAGTTGCACCCCCAGCTAAATATTTTCTTAATGATCAAGATTTAGTTTCTAGCAGTTATACTTACCTATTTAATTGCTAACCAAAGAAAATGATTAAACTTCTTTTTTTTAGTAGAACAGTCACTTGATTTCAATTTTTTATTGCTTTAAGTCTTGGTGTTTCTTATGAAAGTGCTGTGTCAAGTAATTTATATCTTGGGCTTTCTGTGGTGACTAAATACATTAATATATCTGTGATTTTTCTTGGCCCATGAAACAAAGCTGTATAACAAGTGACTAACAGTCAAAGTAAAACAAAAGAAAATAATGGAATAAGTGTCTGCTACTAATAATACCTGTATTGATTTGACTATTCTTTCGCGGGCAAAGCAAATTCACTCTTATTCTAGCTATTGTCCTACGATTTGGCTAACAAGTAGGCTCTGGGTACGAGATCATACAGATATGGGCTCAGTCTGATCCAGCTCCCTAACAGTAAACACGAGCAGAGTGGAGCTGGACAGACCAATAATTTACATGTTTTAGAATGCAAATAATTGCAAGTTTTTGTTCCATACTTGGCTATGTTTTAATAGCATTTCCAGCAATATATCGTAAGATACAGAAATAAAACCATTTTGCTTATGACAGGAGTGCAGCTTATTTACAAGTCTATAAATTAGTTCAAGTATGTTAAAGCCTGGGTTGAAGGCTGTTTATGGCTAGAACCATTTTTTTATCTATTTTGCTGTCATCTTTTGCTCAACCTTTGCCAAGATTGGGCACTTATCTCTATGGGGTATAAGGATCTGTCCTAACACCTGAACTACCATTGCACATTTAGGGGATATTTGCTTATGTTTAATTAAATAAGCAGGTCACATAACATATTTTGCATAATATCTCCTAACTGAGCAATGGTAGTTCAGGAGTTAGGGCAGATTCATATACATCTGAGGAGAAGTGAAAATATGCAATTACATTTTATGTACAGATGATAACCATCACCCCCATCTTAATTCAAGGCTTTGACGTGAGGATCAAGGTCATGTGACTGCCTTAGCTCAAACATTTTCATCCTAGTATCATAAAGTTATGTGGTCATGCCAACAAAAACAATAAAAAGGTTCTAGCCATTACTGGCTTCAACTAAGGCCTTAACATACTCGAGAATGGTAACCAAGCTTCGAGACTTCTCTTGAACCAGTGCTTCTCAGTCTTAAGTGACCAGGAAGCACTGGAAGCGTCTGATTCATTGCAAATAATATTCTATGTTTTATAGGGTAATATGACAGCTGATTGTCACAACACGCTACAACACTAAAACTCTTCAAAGTGGTAAAATGCGC